AAGCCCTTATTTCGAAAAGTAGACCATAGGTGAAGGAGAAACTCGTCTAAATGCACCGCTTTAGTTAGATACTTTGCGTCCTTTTAAAGGCTTTTTGGAGGGCTTCTTGCACCCTCTTTAAACTCTCCGCAAATTGTCATATGATGTGTTAGGTGGTTAAATTGTGCATATTATCACTTAAGAAGAAGTACTGATTGTAAAATATTTTTAAAACTCGGCGATATCTGGTGATAAATAGTTTTGGCCAGCTTTTCAGGTCCAATACCACAGTGTGCGGCGTTTCTTCTTTGCGCAGCGCTGCCGTGCCAAGGAAAAGCGCCGTACGAACATTTGAAAGTTGCCAAATTTCCTCCGATAAAATGATAATTTTTTAGGAAAGTTATTAATGCGTTGTCTTGAAATTTCGAGGAACTTCCGATCAAATTACAAATAAAATTATCTGAGAAATTGGGTGAAAAATATTCACAAATTTTCCTGAAAATTTAGAAAAATAATATGTGAAGGTGCATGTTGTTTCCCATCAAATACACTGAAAAAAAAAAAAAAAAAAAAAAAAAAAAAAAAAAAAAAAAAAAAACACATCGGATCTAGAGTCCAGACTCTTAAAAACATGGACAAGAAAAAATACTCTTGATTCAATCCGATTTTTGCTTAAATCAAGAACCAAGCCTCTTAATTTGAGCGGATTTCCTTTTGACTTAAGCTTAAATCTGACATGAATCAAGAGTATTTTTTCTTGTCAATGTTTCCAAGAGTCTGGACTCCAGATCCAATGTGTTTTCTTTTTTCCAGTGTAAATTCGTCTATGGAAACTTGGCAACGCCTGAAGGCTCATATGCCGTTTTTCCTTAGCACGGCGGAGCAGTAAAGTGACAAAGCGTGGACGGAAGATCAAAGGATTGCGCCCCTTGAACGCAATCCCCCCGGCCGGAGACTAATCGGTCGCCCTTGAATTATTTAACGCCTGAAGCCAGTGTCATGTCGCCTCGCCTCGCACGCGGGGGCACTAAGGGGGTGGCGTTTCGGGATACAGGTGTGGTTGCGCAATGTCTTTACTTCTAACCCCGCCGCCGCACAGTGGATCGAGCCAATACGGGGGGTCGGACAAAATTTGGAAACTTTAAACGCTTATAACTCCGTTTATACAAAAATTTGAGGCTTTAAAAGTAGTTTCATCGGTTGCCTCGCAAAATTTTCCTCTGAAAGCACCCCTAAAAATTCAAAATGTGACAAAGTAAACATCAAAATTTGCAGTTTTAGTTAAAAAGTTCATGTCCGACCTCTCTAATTGACTCGATCCACTGTGCGCCGGCGCTAAGCCTCGCGTTCAATTTGTGAGCGCCCTCTCGCTTTTGTGCCCCGAGCTATTTCGGCGCCTATGTCTTTTTCTCTCCCTCGTCCCGCGCCTTTGACGGATATCTGCTCGGGAGCGTTTCGTAACGGGTTTTGTAATCCCGAGACTTTCGTCGGTGGTCGAATAAGAGTTTGGAGAGGGATCTTTCTTTCCTGATGTTTCCCTGTTTGAAGAAGTTTTCATTTAATTCGTATTTTCTACTGTGAAGGAAGATCTAGAAAGTGTCGCAAAATCGTCGTTTTCGAGACGAAAAAACGTAACATTATTTGGATTGCATTTTGCAAAAAGGAACCAGGAGCATTTCAATGTTACTAAGATTGTGCTACTTGTTTTGTCTTGGAAGAACAACCTAATTATCCACTATCAGTTGCTATTTTATTAGATAAAAACTGTAAATTTAAGACAAAAATACAATGTAAATGTCATATTTTGTCATGGTTTCAGTAATTTCATTGCAAAGGAGAATACGCACAATCTTAGCATTATCGCAATTCTTCTGGTTCCTTTTTGCAAATGCATTCCATTTGGACTGCGCTAAGCAAAAAAGAAAGCCACAGCAGCTTTTGCCAAATTCAATTGGGCAATTTAGTTTTGATACGAAAACGGTGCTGCGGATTTTCGTGCAAATTTCAGTGAGCTTTTTCCATACCACGAAGCAAATTCATTACAATTTTCAGAAGAATTCGCACAAACGCTCTCTTGTAAAAAAGTAAACTTCCTAGTTAAATTTGACATTGGATATTTTCTACTGGCGCATGACTGAGCTATTCCTGGCTAAAATTTTGATGATTTTTATTGGTAAAGCTATAGAGTTGGTTTGTTCCTCCTTGAAATAATAAAATAAGAACGGACAATTTGAAACATCGCAATGGCATCGCATCGCAATGGCTTTTCACTTTAGTCTCAACGTAAGATGAGCAAACGCTATCAACTTGACACAATCGTTTGTTTTTATCAGGTTCAACACGGCAACAGTGTCGAAGAATAGTCGCGGCATATCCCGACCGAATCGGGCCCAATTTTTCTTAAGCCCCGGTTCTCCAGGTCCAATTTTGAAAATGTATCGGACAGCCATCCGCGTATTTTTCTTCGACCGATCCATTTTACCGATAGGCTCGGGCGAGAAATATTTTATGATAACCGGAGTCAGCCCCCTTCTCACATCAACTCGATTTCAAACCACGTGCGAAGGGTGGTAAAGCGTTTTATTTTGTTTGCTTTTGGTAAAAACAGAGTCTAAGTTAAATATTCTATATTTTTCCTCAATGAAGAACTCCACTTTTACTCTTGCTGATCGTAATTTCGCCGAATCATTTTGACCGCGTTTAGAAAAAAGGAACCAAGCCACAACAGCAATTGCCAAATTTAACTTCGAAATTTAATTTTTTACAAGAAAACGTTTTCGCGGATTCTTTTGAAAAATTTAAGAAATTCGCTTCGTTCTACACAGAAAAAAATGGATGGTGTGGCGGCGCGGCACTCGCACTCAGCAGTGCGCGTGGCGTGCTGACGCACCCGCTCGACGCAATTCCGACTTCGGCCGCTAGTTGCAGTTCGATCGCTCGGTTCCCTATCGCAAAGCTGCAAACCAGCCTGGTGGGGAGTCGGCGATCGACTATAAATAGTGGCCGGAGCATAGGCTGGGCACCAGTATTTGATCAAGATTTGTAGAAGACCAACCAGTCGTAGTCATCGGCCCGTCCCGTAAGCACCAGGGCTGAGGCCCGAACGTCCGCGGCTCAGACCCGTACTACCATCACGCCCCAGACGCGTACATCAAACTCGGCTCAGACCCGAACCCCCCCCCCTCCCCATCTCATAGCCCACTCCCAGACCTTAGGCCTGTTCATATATATGTGTATGTGAAACCAATAATTGAAATAGTATAAATAAATATGTGTCAGTGAACCCCTCATAGTTCATCCTTTATCAAAACCCAAAAACCACCCTCCTTACAATGGTGCTGACGACAGAACCTTTTGTTCATACGGCTCCCACAGTTTCTTTGTTACACTTACAGAACTTTTGGTCGTGGGAACAGAGTACTCTGTTCCCACGACAGAAGTTCTGTTCTCACAACAGAAAAGTTCTGTAAGTGTAACAAAGAAACTGTGGGAGCCGTATGAACAAAAGGTTCTGTCGTCAGCACCATCCATTTTTTTCTGTGTATGCAGAAAATCCACTGAAATTCGCACAAAAATCCGCACAACCGTTTTCACGTGAAACAATTAAATGCCCAATTAAAATTGGACCGAGTTTAACAGAAAGGAACCAAGCCACATCTGCTATTGCCAAATTTAACTGGGCAATTTAATTTTTTACGAGGGATCGTTTATGCGAATTCCTTTGAAATTTTTAAGGAATTTGCTTCAAATTATAAAGAATTTTCATTGAAATTTGCACGAAAATCCGCACAACCGTTTTCATGAAAAAAATTAACTTGCCCGATTAAATTTGGCACTAGCTGATTTGGCTTGGTTCCTTTCTGTTTAACGCGGTCCAATTGGCAATACCGAACGTAACTTCGTTCCTTTCTATCAAACGCAGTCCATATATGGACTTAAGACGTCACTTATAACCTAATAACGGGAAAGAAGAGTTTGCGATTAAAACGCAAGACGGGTAGATCAATCGGTTTACATTTTGCAATTAGAAACTAACAAGCTTTGGCTGATCCGTAAAACACCTATAAGCATAGGGAAACTAACGGTACATACGTTGTTTTTGACTTGAGCCAGAAATTGTAGTTCCTATCTGCAAAATGTATTGCATATGGCGTTACCTAACTTTTTGTGTTCCTCGCTTGACGGTTTTAGGGTAGGACACAAACCGGGGTACCTTCCAACTAAAGGCGCACAAAGGATTATATAACGCCATATTGAACGGGAAACGGGTTCTTCCTTGAAGGGCACTGGAAAAAAACCCGCTCGAATCTAGAGTCCAGACTCTTAAAAACATCGTCAAGAAAAAATACTCTCGACTCTATCGGATTTTTGCTTAAATCAAAAACCAAGCCTCTTAATTTGAGCGGATTTCCTTTTGATTTAAGCAAAAATCCGATTCAATCAAGAGTATTTTTGTTTGTCAGTGTTTTCAAGAGTTGGAACTCTAGATCCAAGCGGTTTTTTTTCCAGTGGGGACCTAATTGCAAAATTTTTCTAAATCGAGATTTCGACGGAATACTCTTCTCCGAGGATGGAAGTGTTTCGCAATACCGAGCGGTTCTACCAAAATTCCTGTTTAAACGTATATCAGACGAATTTTGAAGGAAACTCGATTTCGAAAATTCAACACGGAAAAAACGAGTTTAGGGCTGGTACCTGCGCCGAAGGTCCCAGCCCTAACCGGGTAGGTAAAATTGCTTCACCTTCACCGCCATAGGGGCAGGCCCGGCGCGCGTAGAGCCCAAATCTACCTGCTCCAGGGTTCAGCCCTACCTGGTAAGAGCTAGACCCTGTCCAGGTAGGGCTGGGCCTTACCCGCGAAGGGCCTGCCCCTGTGGCGGTGGAGGTGAAGCAATTCAAGGGCCCAGCCCTAATCTCGTTTTTTCAGTGAATACTTGCCGCTCTCTCCGCTAACATAACCGATCAAGTGTATTAATTCTAAGGTATAGATACTAATGGAGATGGTGTTAATTTTGTTTCAGAGTTCAGCACGGCTCCGTGACGGATAGCCTAAGGAGCGCGCTCTCCCGGCTGCGTCAGCGGACTGCCAATTCCGGTTCCGGGGACTCCTCCCCAGATGCCTCTCCAACGCACACACTTACGGTAAGTCTACACCCATTCACACACTCACACATTCACCCTTACCTCCAGCCAATCAGCCGCCATCTGAAAATGTCCATGTTTTTAGCCTCTAAAACCGGGCCCGTATATGACGTATATTGTACACTGAAAAAAAGATTGGTAGAATTTTCCATTCCTTCACGCTGTATTTTAGACAGCGTGAATTCAAAGTCAATTCTGCCAGAGGAATGGTTACGTGTACCAGTATATAGTAACGTTTACCTTTTTTCAGGCATAATTGACTCTGAATTGACGCTGTGTAAAATACAGCGTGAAGGATTGGTAAATTCTACCAATCTCTTTTTTCAGTGTAAGAGAATAACATTTCGGTGTCGGAACGGGGGTACAAACTTGGGTCCTATGGCCAAAATCCATGAGAATTGGCAGTCTCCCGGACGAAGGAACGTAACTCCACTCCAAAGTTGCCAAATTGACTTGGACAACCTTATGGTTTTGGTGGATTTAACACAAAATTGTATTCAGCGACCAAGTCCTTTGGATTGATCTGACACAAAAAAAGTAGCTCGAAGGAGTAACATCAAAAACGGAAATTGTTAACTGTGTAATATTTTCAGCTCATCTTAAAAACAACATTTAAGACATTACCCTCCACTTGCGGACAGGAGTTTTTGAGCCATAATTGGACCGCGTTAAGCAGAAAGGAACCAAGCCACATCAGCCATTGTCAAATGGACGTATTTCTACCAAACAGACCTATGTGCAGGTGAGAAATATGAGGTGTGCTCTAGAAATCTGTATAAGAAGCAATGTAAAAGTGGGCGTGATTCTTTTTGAAGAATTGGAAAAGCGGGATATTACATTCTATCAAACAGACCTATGTGCCATCTGAATGCGGGATTCATGAGCCGCGGGCATGGCACGAGAGCGTTGTGAACAGGGCTCATGAGTTACAGCGCCCCGACGACCATCTCCCCGTCGTTGCGCGGCTCGATCATTGCCGCTGACGTCACTGGCGCTTTATTATTCTCATTCACTCTTACGGTCAGAGAACTGACAAGCACACCCCATATTTCTCACTTGCACATAGGTCTGTTTGGTAGAAATACGTCCAAATTCAACTTGGCAATTTAATTTTTTACAAGGGAGCGGATTCCTTTAACAATTTTTAGGGATTTTCTTCACATTTTGCGGAAAATTTACGGAAATTTGCAAAAATCAATCCGCACGAACTTTCTCCTACAAAAAATTGGACATATTTCTGTCAAACGGAACTAAGCGCCAAATTGAGTTCCTTTTGAGGATTTTAGAATGCCGGGTAGCGCGTTCTGTCAAACGGAACTAAGCGCCATGGAAAAGCATTGCCAGTATAGGTCGGAATAAGCCCGATTCCGCCGCCAATCCAAGCCCCCCTCTCCCTTCCTCCCTCGATGGCGCTTAGTTCCGTTTGATAGAAATACGTCCAATTAAACTGTCCAGTTTGTAGTGATAGCTGATGTGGCTTGGTTCCTTTCTACTTTACGTGGTCCATTTAGTAGGTTCCTTTTGAAAAATGGAATCCAAATGTCCGATTATTTTCTGTAATCACCGCTCAAATCAAACCCCATGAGTCAAAACACTCAGTGACTGGAAACAGCCAAAACCCAAGTGCGAAGCGATTCATTCATTACCTCTGCGGGCACGGCTAATCCGAGCGTCTCTCTCACGTGCAATTTGGTCCCCAATTGAAATCGTCTCCTTTGAAGCGGAGCGGAATCCACCGAGCTCGGGTGGCAAATCACGTCGCCTTTCGGACCTAAGAGCGCGACTCTATTTTGGGATGAGCCCTAGCGTCCGTATAACTCCATGCTTTCGGGGCTCACGGGAAAAATGAGATACGCGGTTACGTCACAGGAGTTACGATCAGCGCAGAGGCAAACCGAGCATTTGATTCGGAATCAAATAACCGTCCAGTCATAAACGACTGTAACTGTTTAATTGGACGTGTTTACAGTAGAAAGAACTTAGTCACATGTAAACGTTATTGCAGACAGTGTATTTTAGCATATACGTCTAATTGTGGTTTCCGTATAAACCCTACACGGACTCAAATCTTTTACACGTTCGCTGTGCGTACACACCTGTGAGCTGATTATTTGGCGCCAAAAATACGTGGTAGATCATCACGTAATCTACTCTTCTGGTAATCTCAGCACATTCAATCAAAAACAGTGGCGTATACGAAGGGGGCGTCCTGAGCATCCCCCCCCCCCTAAGCCTCGTTAATCGTACCTTTTTTTATTTTTGGAGGGCATACTTAATATATTACAAGGGACGTACAAAAAATAATGTAAATTTACCGTCACGGACCCTCGAGTCCCTTAAAGAATTCCTAGCTACGCCACTGATCAAAACCACAAGTCTTAGTGACCTATTCTATTTTTTGATTAACCTAAATCTTGTACACAGAATATTTTAAGGCGAATATTTTCAACATTCTTCTCTCAATCAAAAAGTTCAGGCATCTACTGATTTTGATCGGTAACGCTGTAGGTGATTCCTCCCAAAAAGTAAACAAACATCGATAAATCGAACAAATTTTGCTAAAATACGAGTTTTGCTTTTCTTCCTGTTTAAAAACAGAGAAACAACAGTGTAGAAACATACCTCAGCAGTCTATTGGTAAAAAATCTCTGCAGAAAACCCTAAAATGAGGCCAAATGAGACGTAACGCCAAAATTCCAGGCCGATTTGACTAGTCGAATAAGATATTTCACGTTTAGTTTCATTCGGCTTTAATTAAGGGTTTTCAAAGAAATTTCCCATCATTAGACTGTTGAAGTATACCTTTTTACTGTTGCTTCTCTGTTTTTACAAAGAAAGGATAGCAACATTTTTATTTTAGCATTTGTTGGATATATCTGTAGCAGGCAATTAGCAATCGTCGGCAAATTGCAATCGATTCGTGTTGAATCACCGAATTAAAAATTAAAAAAGTAAAAACGAGATAGGAAATAGTGATTATTATGCTTTTAATTCGAACATACGTTATCTCCCTCTTCTTGAATGCATGGTACCAGGTAGCACACTCGCGAGTTCGTGAAATGTGATCAATAATCTGCGTTGGGTATGGTTAGGTTAAGCAACTAAACTAACCCCTAGCCAAAGCGGAGAGTATCGCTGGAATTTGAAGGCGTTCCAAGCTGAGATCGTGCCGTGAATTTCTTCGCTAAAGAAACCTTTACTACGTCGATGTCATTGTAATTGGAATTTGACGAATTGACAAGTACGGAGCTTGCAGATTGCCGGTGATTGCTGATTGCCTGCGACATATTGATTGTTTACTTCTGTTGAGAAATCACCTTATCAGTCGCCTCGATGTCCTATTTTGATGCGCTAATTTTGATCGCATAAACTGAGTTAAACGGCTCGACGCTCAAGTCGGCATCGCCGACGAGTGAAAGTAGCAGCTGATATAGATCCTGTCGTGGAAAAGTGATTATACCGAGAGGGAGGGGGAGGGGGTGGGTAAGGGAATCAAAAGCTGTCAAAGGAAGGTGGAAAAGCGGCTCCGCCAGCCTAAAACAAGAAAGAATCGCTCAGGCTTACGCCACGCTGCCAAACCTCCCGAGTTTTACCATTTTATTCCTCTTGATTTCCTGCCCATCAAGCAGTGGCGTGGTGTACCTTGCGATATATCGACTGATCTGCCATTTAAATCTGTCGAAAGGATCGATAAACAAGTCGTTCATTATAAACACGTTAATAATCGAGTATCTACCACAGCTTCAAATGGGAAGGTATCGGAAAGCCCCGCCTCTGGCATCGAGTGTTGACTCGTTATCGAATGATCCACGGTGTCAAGGACCGATAAAAACCAAGAATAACCGGGACTCTTCAGGGAATGAAACATTTTAGGGAAAACTCGGAGAATTTGTTTCAGAAACAGAGAATATATTCTCCTAACGTTTCGACACTAATCTCTCCTTTTAACTCCATTTGAATTTTCTTCAGGTTATTTTTCTCATAAAGCTATTCGCCGCGAACATTGAAAAAAAATATTGGTAGAATTTACCATTCCTTCACTCTGTATTTCACACAGCGTGAAGGAATGGTAAATTCTACCAATCTTCAAGTCGAATCTCCCAGAGGAATGGTTACTTGTACCACTATATAGTAACGTTTACCTTTCTTCTGGCAGAATTGACTCTAAATTGACGCTGTGTGAAATACAGCGTGAAAGAATGGTAAATTCTACCAATCTTTTTTTTTTTTTCAGTGAACATCCACGGAAGTAATCTCATTATTTTTAACTCATCATTTTGAGCTATTCTACTAAAACCAAGCATCAAAAACACGATCCTGTGACCAGTGTAACTGACCCATCCCCTGCTCAATTCAGTGTGAAAAGCTCAGGCGATGGGAAAGCAACTATTCGAGCGTCAAAGCGATCAAATTGCCTATACGTGTAATTGAAGGCGATCTACTCGAGGTCAAGTAACGGAATCCGTTTAGGAATTATGGCAACTGCGAGGGTGAGTGATATTGACAGCTGAGAACTCAGAACGGAAGACGAATGCCGCTTGAAATGAAAGCGCACGTATGGCGTATGGCACGCGCTTCAATTAAATATCAACTTACTGGGGAAACGGAGAGGGTTAGGTGGGCGGAGAAAGGCGGAGAGGGCGGGGGCTGGAGCTAGGGGAGTAAGGGGAGCTCGGAGAGATATGATACCGCAGATTTTTTCGGTTCTCGGAGGGATGAGATTACTCCCGCGTTTCAGAGAGGGTTCACGGTGTAATAACGCGGAGGTGAAATTCGGAGATAAAATCGCTGAATTCACACTTTAAAAATACAGTAGAGCCCCGATTATACGCGGTGATTGGGACGGGAGGTATCGCGGATAGCGTGAACTGTGGACGATTTTTGATTCGACTTAGAAGTCAGGATTTTGTCACCTGCCTGAACCAGTGTCCCTTTATACTGAGAGTAAAGACAATACGAATACATTTCTGATTGGTTCTCGTAGTTTAGGCCCCCGTAATG